GGATCCATGCCGAGGCGTCCTCTGGGCCCCTTGGCGGTGCCAAGTAAAAGAGCGATGTGGCGCGAGGATGAGTCGCGCCCAGGCTTCGCAGAGCCCAAGCGCAGCCATAACGGCTTTGGGCGAGGGATGAGGGGACAGGGCGGGCCAAGAGCAAGAATGCATTGATATGAAAGGGGGTAGGATGAGGATCACATCGAAGCAACTAACGGACCAGCAGGTTAATCCCGAAGCTTGCTCAAAAAATGCAACATCCTCGCAGGGCGATTTCCCGTGACAGGCGCCTCGGGCGCCTCTCGGCGGCCCTGGGGCCGCGGGGCCAGGGGCCGCGACAGGCGTTTCGCGGCTCGCTCGAAAACCAGCGAGGAGAAGGGGAATTGTTGATCGAATGGGTCTAGCGAGTGTTGTGAGACAGCAAGCGAGCACCAAGGGTAGAACGTTGCGATTTGGATTGCAAGTTCGGGCGGCGGGGGGGGGGGGGAAGCTGAGATCTCAGGAAGACTCAGGATTGCCCTCAGGTAGACCGAACTGGTTTGGATCTCAAGCTTGAGTTCCCCTGTGGTGGTGGTGGTGGTGGGGGGGGGGGGGGGGCCTCGAGCCTCTGGGCAACCTCGGAGTGCTTGAGCCGATTTTGATCTTAGGCTCGACCTCCTCTGAAGGATTGTTTAGAAGCTCGCGCCTGCGGGCGAGCCTTATTTCCAAACGCCCCCAATCCAATATGTCGCGTTTCCGCATGTGCCCAGTTCGCCCGAGCATCGGCATCGGAATCGGCTCGGTACCGGGCCATGCGAAACACAAATCCTCGCAGCTCTTTCTGGAGGGGCGATGGGGGCTTAAGCCTCAGAGGAACTCGGGAGGAGGACAAGGGTGTGATGATGTTCCTTCCGCCAGTGTTTCTTCTCTTTGATGATGGGGATGCGGATGTGTTTTTTTTTTTTTTTTTTTTTGTTTCCCCTTTTTTTTGTTTACCCCGCCCGCTACCCCAACGGACGACATCCCCTTTGCGATGCGCTTCAAGCGCTTCCGATGCAAGTCGTATTATTGCGAATTGTTTGCAGTGACCAAGCTTAGAGGCCGAGAAGGCCTCGCCTCGAGTGTGAGACCGCCATCGGTCAGCCTAGAACATACTAGCCAGTGGTCAAGCCAGACAATTGAGAATACGATTCCACCAACCGAGTTAATGTGCATCGAATTGCCGATCTGGCTGCTCATTGAATGGCGGCTCCTCGTTCTAGGTGGTGGGTTTGACGCATGGGCGAGAAACGTGCAGCCCACCCCCAGTGCCTCTGCGTCTTGGGGGTATACTGGCCAGCCCATGCTCCTGAATCATTCCTTCACGGCTATCCATTTCAGAAGATCAGGTCTCCACACAAGGCCAGCCCCTGACGTGAGGGTGCGGAGAGGGCCTTCCAAATTAGACCAGCACATCTTTTTTTCACGGATTGCCCTAGGTCCCAGCAACAACCTGGCCTCTTCTGAAGGAATATGTCGATGCGATCTCTCTCATTTTGCGTCAAGCAAATCTCGTAAGAGTCAGGCTTGTCACAGCAGGGGGCAGTGGCATGTCTGGCAATTACCTTTCGTCGTGCCGATGCCCATTCTCTATCCAGAGCAAGCTCGTCCTCGTCGGCAACGCAATAAGCCTGGGATGTGTACGAGCACCGCCGTGAAAAGACTGCCTCGTTGAAATCACTGATTGTTGCGGTTCGAACAGGCACGTTCATGCCTCGAAGGCGACCGCGCACGTATTGTCGGGGCCGGCGAGCTTGCCAACCTTGACGATCGGGCTTGCACACAATTCGTTCGAACGCATAATGTTGGCCCAAATTCAGATCATACTCTTCGAGGCCTTGTCCCTCGACGCATTCAGCAATAATTTCGGGTTCAAGCAGGTCCAGGCGCTGGCGACAAAATTTCCACAACACATTGCATCCATCTCCTTCGAGACCTGCACGAGCACCCCACGTTGAATCACTGATGCACGGAACCCCTGTGCAATGCATATGCGAACGCCCTACGTTGCAGCGTTTGTGACAGCATAAACACGGTGCCCACGTCATTGTCGGCTTGGGCATGATCAGGGAACGACGACGATCGATCTGGTTCATCGGAGTGGCCGCCAATTCGGCGCGAATAGATGGTTCCAAGAAGTCTTCCCACCGTCGAAACAGATGCTGTGGCCTCACGTGTCGAGGCTGATTAAGGAGTTCGTGTATGCAGGCACGGTTGCATTCGATTGCCCATGCTTGCACGCAGCGGACACCCAGAGCCGCGCAAGCGGCCCGTGCACCGAGTTCAAACCCGCCGATGCCAGTGCAGCCCGAGCTTAACGTTAGAAGCCTCGCCGAAGAATCAATTGAGAACCTGTGAGCTGCCCAATCCCTGGATGCGATAGACTTGCCGTGTTGCGGCCACCTGTAGGACTCAACGACTGTAGTGCAGATGTTGGCCGACATCGGGGCAACGTGCATTTGAGCAAGCATGTGCTACGGATATTGTTATGTTCACGCAAAGGCCGTGACAGATCGTTACTACTTACAACCGTGCGTAGTCTGAGCTACGTGATGTTAGTAGCGTGCGATGCGTTACACGGACAGCTTGTGTTGCTCCGCTCACGGGGCACAGCTTCGCGACATAGCAGCCGTTCTAGAAGGCGTTGCTGGCCTAACTGCTGGGCGCTGGGCGTCATTCAAGGCCTCCCGGGCACCGAAGGGCTGCGCCGGGGGATCACCAACGGCCCCCAGATGAGGGTTTACGCGACACGCCTCCCAGCGCTCAACAGGGCGCGCTGGGACCAGGACCCAGCAGGAAGGTGGCACTGCTGGGCCCAGGTCCCAGCAGGACGGTGGCCCTGCCGGGTCCAGGGCCCAGCAGATACGGGCATGCTGGGACCTGCGCCCCCCAGGGCCCAGCAGACAGGGGATCTGCCGGACCCTCACCCCCCCAAAGTCCCAGCAGACAGGGGATCTGCTGGGCCCAGGTCCCAGCAGAGGGGGGGCTGCTGGGTCCAGGTCCCAGCAGAGTGGGGGGGGGGCGCTGGGACCACCTCCCAGCAGTGTCTGTCCCTGATGCTGGGGATAGGCCCTGGGACACCGTCGCTCTTGTAAGAAACGCCTCCCTGCAGATTCACTCGTTGCTCAATCAAGCCTTTCCCTGAGGCTTCTTGGGGTCAGTTCTGGGCCCTCACGGTGGTCTCTTGGAGCTCGAGGACCGTTTGGGTGATTTTGGGGATGACCGTTTGGGATGTTATATGGAGCCGCTTGGGGGGCGATCTGTTCGCCTTCACGTGTCTTCAAGGGCATCCTGAGGGCTTGTGTGATGTTTATGTTGGCCTTTGTGATCCAGCGATGGTGGTGACGGTCCTCGTCGTATCATCCTCCCCGTTAGCATCACGGACGTTTTCATACCGTTTGTGCGCTTGTACAGTGTGCCGGCAAGGAGCGTCGCGCATTGAGCGACAGCGGCGACCACGGCTAAACCTAGTTACACCTAGTTACGAGTAGTTACACCTAGTTACACCCAGTTACACGCAGTTGCACGCAGTTGCACGCAGTTGCACCCAGATACACCCAGTTACACCCAGCTACACCCAGTTACACCCAGTTATTCTTAATTACACTTAGTTGAACCCAGTTACACCTAGTTACACCCAGTTACACCCAGTTACACCGAGTTACACCAAGTTACACGATTTACACACAGTTACACCTAACTACACGTAGTTACACCTAGTTGCACGTAGTTTCTATTTGAGGGCTGGCCCTGGTGCGGCAAAGCGCCACTAGGCAATCGCACGTGGATCCGCAGACGGAGGCGCGGGGGGAAATTACGTACACAACTAATCATTTGTACGGGATTTCCCCTGTCTTCTTGGCCGCGGCCGACGACGATGACGACGACGACGACCAAGCCGCCGCCGATGCCGACGACGACGGCGACGACGATCGTGACGACCAAGACGACCATGACGACGGCGACGACGATCGTGACGTCCAAACCAAGACTGAACTGATTTGAATATTTCCGAACTGATTTGGACCTTGCAAGAGTTACTCGGGGGATGGGGAGCTTAGGCCTCAGGCAGACTGTCGATTGCCCCTTATGGCCCATGGTGGGCCGACCTGAGTTTGATACTAAGCCTGAGCTCCTCGATGAGATTAGCGTGAACTCAAGCCCCTAACCGAACTTGCGCTTCTCCGCCTGACTCACGGACTCACCCGAGCATCGGCATCGGCATCGGTCGGACAAGCTCATCGCCAGCCGAGGAACATTTGACCCCACCAGCTGGCAGGGCAAAATAGGTCGCAGAGGAGGAAAGAGAGACGAAGGAGGATGGGGAGAAGGAAGCCTGAGGGTGAGGACAAGGAGAGGGATGTAAATGATTGCGTCAGCCTGACGCGCCACACAAACGGACGACGGGCGGTTCTCAGTGCAGCCTCGGTCGCAGCCAGAGCAAGCTGCAGCTGCTTGCCAGAAGTGTCTCGGGAGTTCTAGGATCTTGGGTGGCCTAGGGTCCTGGAGTCCTGGGGAGTCCCGGGCCTCGGGGGTCGTTGGGCAGTCTTGATGAGTCCCAGGGATCTTCAGCGGTCTTGTCCCAGGAGTTCCTTCGAAACATCTTAGAGAACTTGCGTGGACGACCGCAGGGGTGATGGACCGATCCCCCCAGGAGTCCTGAGGCGGGAGTAGCAGGAGCAGGAGCAGGAGCAGGATGACGAGTAGCGGAGGAGGAGGAGGAGGAGAAGGAGGAGGAAGAGGACATGTGCTTGCCTGCTGGCCAGCTGACTCGCTGATCCCCGAGTTCCAAGTCAGCGTTGCCACAAGCATGGAGAGGCTGAACAAGCCCCCGATCACTCAGCACATCTCCAGTTGCGCTGCATGCGTCAGCAGTGGCGGCGCCTGAAGCTAGCATAGAAGTCCCAGCACCATGGACACAAGTTATGATGAAATTTCAAAGGAAGCGCTCCTTCAACAACTGCCGTCCAATCATATGGACCGTCCATGACCTGGTCAAGCACTGCAGAAGAATAGCTGGTAGATACGACGTTGTGCATCATCGACTCGTACGGAACACCCGTCTCATCGACCAGCTCATCGATACCACCAGAGAACACATCGAGAGCAGCGAAAACTGCTTCCCTCTGATGCATCATGCACTCTGCATGGTACGGTGTGAGGCAAAACTTGCACGTCTTCCCGCTCTCCCAATGCTTGCTGCATAATGTGCAAAGAGCCCCCTCCACATTGTACAACTGCAAATCAACATTGATCGAAATCGTGTCCCACACTCGCTTGGCATTGCTGTTCATAGGCTGTCGGAGACGAATATCTGTGCCTGGTATAAACTCGGCTGCCCGGACCATTCGAGTAGCTGTATCTCCAATGATGAGTTTGTAGATTCCATTGTCCAGTGTGTCCTTGATGTTGACGCTGTCAGCTGGTCTCTTGTATGGGGCGTCGTTGCTGTCGTCGAGTTGGAAAAATTTGCCTTCTCGTTTAACGTAGTTGTCCCAGCATATCCACACCGTTGCGGGTTCCCCCATGTCTTTGATCTCATAGTTTGCCAGCAAAGATATAATTTTGTCCTTAGGGGCTCCCATGCGCCGCGCCCATTCCAAGGCCTTGCACGAAGCAATCACATTTTCCATCCACGAAGCCAAGGCAGTCATGAGCTGCTCGATCTCGATGTGCACCTCGTCGTCGGCAGGGCTGCCATCCTCCATGATGCCAGCTGCTTGATGTCGGGTTGCCTCTTCTTCCAAACGAGCGCCATCGAAGGTCAACGTAGCATCGTCCTCGGCAAGAGCCTTCATGATGCCCTCGTCGGCTTCGGGTGTCTCCGCATCAGTTCCCAGCTGGTCCCCGGCGGAGATCTCTGATGCGATGACCTCGTTCGCTTTTGTTTCATCGGCAGGTCCGTCAGCGGGCTGACCCTTGGCGCCGACGACCTTCTCAATGACCGAGCCCTCCCCGCCCTGATCGCCCTGATCGCCCCCGCTTGCAGCTTCAGGATCATCGCGGAACAGGGCCTCGCGCAAGGCGTCAACCCACTCAGCGTCGGCGGCGGCAGAATGGCCGCCACGAGCGCAAGTGCACATGCCACTGATCGGCGTAGGGGGGCCTGCCATGAACGCCCTTAAGTTCGCGCCAGCTTTGCGCATCGACTCGAAAGACCACGTGACTCGCACGACCTTCAGCGCAGTCGGCCCTGCGACGCCGCGCTCTACCATGGCAGTGCGCATGTCGAAGCTGAGGTCCTTGAGAGAAGAAGTTTCCAATGGGATAATCAACTCGACCGTGTCCTTCTCCTTGTGCCAGCAGCACTGCGCCCACCAAAGCAGTCCTCTATAACTATTGACAGCCATCCAAGCATCCATACTGCTCTCACCCTCGACAGTCTGGATAGCAACAGCTCTGGTCGACCCTGGAAGTGAAGTACCCAATGTCTGGACCAGTGCGCCTGCAATTTTCGCGATGCATCTCTCCTGGTGTTTTCGCTTTTGCTTCTGCGCTCGACGAGCGCGTTTCCTCGGCCGCCAAGGCAGAGGAGGTTCAGCGTCGCATAGCGGAACAGGAGGTGGAGCGACCCCGTCACAATCTTCGATCGCATGTAGATGCTTCGCCGGGACCGCCCCCAAGTAGAGGTAAGCTTCGAAACGAGTCGCATCTCGCAGCGCAGCCTTGGCGTCATCGTGGCCCTGCAGACATTTGCGAACGACATCTTCCTGTGACTGAGGCGTGGGCCGTAGACGGGCAAGCTCCTTCTTTAGCGTCAGACGCGCGGACAAGAGCACGAGGCCGATGGCAGGGGCCCTTCGGAGGATAACCTTGACAATCGAATTGAGGCCTTCTATTTCTTGCGTGTCAGGCGCGAGCATGCGAGCCATCGCCACGAACAATAACCACAGGTCGTAAGGCAACGTGCCACTCTCAGAACAGATCTGGAGCTCCCTTGCACAACGCTTCCCAATCTTCCACGGCGTCGTTCCTCGTTGCTCCTCGTCCTGGGCAATGTCTAGAAGCTCCTTGCTGATAGTCCTTCTGGCGTTGCAGGCGTAGTCGTGGGAACGGCGCGTCATCCAGAACAATCTCAAGGGATAGCGCCCGACCTCAATCGCGAAGCGCATGTGGAAGTCGGCGGCTTCTTGGAGCGCAAGCTGGATGCACGAAGCTCGGGTCTTGGCTAAGTCAAGCTCTCCTGCGGATGCAAACTCCCATACTTGACCCCGCTTCGTCGCGTCGGCGTAGGCTTCATCACTGAACAGCTTGTAGAACTCGCCCTCTATCTCGTCCACCTTGGTGAACACCATATCTTGGAGAACTGACGTGACCATCGGCTGCTCAACATTGAATACGTCCCTCCGCAGTGTTGGCTTGATGTCTCTAGCTTTCTTCTCCAGCCAATACAACATGTGCGTCATGGGCCCAGTTGCAACATACAGCGATGACATCTCGGTCCAATGTGAATTATCCATGGTTGCGTTCACAGCATCTCGTTCCCATCGGCCGAGCGTCTCGGTATAGTCTTCTCCGTCTGGATATTCCATTATATCACCGTTGCGATTTCGACTGTCCCGTTTGGTGAAGACCTTGCGATATATGAACTGCAATTTGTCCTTGGACGCTAGCAACAAAAAAAATCAAATGCCTTCAGCGTGGCCCCGAATCTACCGATCAATGCTCGTGGAGGCAATCTGCCCGCTCTCCGTGCTGCGTCTTCCTTGCCGTATTCCTGCAACCATGCCGCATATATGTGAGAAGCCCTGTGAGGCGACCTCCAGCAGTTCGTCATCTTAGCAATCCGTGAGTACAGCCCGTCGAAGTGTGCGATCGCCTTCTTCGCGACCAGGTGCACTTGGTGGATCCAGCAAAAATTCCAGATGACCCAAACGAACATAAACTCCGACATGGTGCGCATGACCATGTTTCTCACGCCAATCTCACCAGCGTCCGTTCCGCCCATGTACACAACGATGTGCTTCCACATGGCGTGGCCACTGTCCTAGTGCGTCTGGATGCAGGTAAGTATTCGTATGATATCGCTGCCGCTGCCTCCAAGTGACAGTCTCTGCCGTATGTTGTTCTCGTCGTCTGGGCAGGCGCTGGATATCTAAAGGCTGCCGCCTCTGCCGCCGACCCCAATTGAGCGACGCATGTTTGATTCGTTTATTGTCGGGCGCCTTTCCGAGTACGACAGGAAGGGTTCAGGCGAGACATCCAGGCCTGAGCCTCGCCCTCTGGACTCATGATTCTCTGTTGCACCTCGGACTCCTCTCCATCGAATGGCCTTCCCGCCACTGTGCCTAGGTTGTAGGTATGAAGCCTATTGGATGTTCGTTGGGATTTCGTAGTGGACCTTTTTGTCGAGGCCTCCTGGGGTCAGTTTTGCGGCCACTGGGATGCAGTTTTGAGGCCTCTTCGGGTGAGTTTTGGAGCCTCTTGGGGTCGCTGTTGGGTCCCTTGGGGGCCTCTTGGGGTCTCTTCAGGCCTCTTGGATGCCTCTTGGGGCTCCTTTGGCACTCTTGGATGCCTCTGGGGCACTCCTGGGGCGGTGTTGGGGACCTCGGGCCGTCCGGGAGCGTCGGAAAGGGAACAGGCGAGATACCCTACATTTTTTTCAGCAGCGAAGGCAAGTCAATGGTTTTTGCCTCTCAGGGTTCTCTTGGGAGGCATCTTCGAGGCCTCTTGGGGCATCCTGGAGGCCTTCTGGGCCATCATGAAGCCATGTAGGGCGTAGGCCCACGCTGTTCCGCAACCGTCGCGCGAGAAACCGCGAGAAGCCCCAGGAGAAGATTTCGCGATGTGGGGTCTGGGTCTCTGAACGACTCCTCAATAATGGGGACTGAGGTTGAGAGGATGATGGAAGGACCTGAGGGCGGGCCCACTCCGTGCCCAGAGGCACGGTGGCTGATTTACATAATCCTGAAAACATGATGATCATGGTTCTGACGGATCGCATCGCATTTCCGAGCTCCAATGGGGGAGCCGCCTGAGGGCATTTCATGTTGTTTGTGGTTGGAATCGTAGGGGGTGGCAGTGACTCGGGTTAGCGGTCGGTGGATTGGGCGAAGAGGCAAATATTATCCAGGAGCAGCGATGACCCCATCTCCGAAGGGGAAACATGGGGTTGGACCAGGAATCGCGATTGAGCATCTCCTGCCCAGGGGGAGGGGGGGGATCTAGGAGACCCCATGCGAGAAGTCGTCCAGGTCGTCCAGCCGCCCAGTGGGCGAGAAATCGCACGGTGGGGGGGCCCCAAGAACAGAGGCTCCATGGGGTGGGGATGCCGGGGCCAGGAGGGGAGCGGAGCGTCGGTAGGTCTTGGGCGAGAAATCGTAGGGTGGGGGGTCCCAAGAACAGAGGCTCCATGGTGTGGGGATGCCGGGGCCAGGAGGGGGGCGTCGGTAGGTTTTGGGCGAGAAATCGTAGGGTGGGGGGATCCCAAGAACAGAGGCTCCATGGGGGGGGGGATGCCGGGGCCAGGAGGGGAGCGTCGGTAGGTTTTGGGCGAGAAATCGCAAGGGGGGGTCCCAAGAACACTCCATGGGGCGGGGAAGAGGGGGTCGGTTCGTAGGGTGGGGCCTCCAAGAAAAGAGGCCCCATGGGGTGGGGATTCCGGGGCCAGGAGGGGAGCGTCGGTAGGTGTTGGGCGAGAAATCGTAGGCTGGGGGGATCCCAAGAACAGAGGCTCCATGGGGTGGGGATGCCGGGGCCAGGAGGGGAACGTCGGTAGGTTTTGTTGGGAGAGAAATCGTAAGGTGGGGGGTCCCAAGAACAGAAGCTCCATGGCATAGGGATGCCGGGGCCAGGAGGGGGGCGTCGGTAGATTTTGGGGCGAGAAATCGTAGGGTGGGGAGCTCCAAGAACAGAGCTTCCATGGGATGGGGATGCCGGGGCCAGGAGGGGGGCGTCGGTAGGTGTTGGGCGAGAAATCGTAGGGGGGGGTCCCAAGAACAGAGGCTCCATGGGGTTGGGACGCCGGGGCCAGGAGGGAAGGGGGGCCCAAGAACAGAGACTCCATGGGGCGGGGATGCCGGGGCCAGGAGGGGAGCGTCGGTAGGTCTTGGGCGAGAAAATCGTACGGTGGGGGGTCCCAAAAACAGAGGCTCCATGGGGTTGGGATGCCGGGGCCAGGAGGGGGGGTAGGTTTTGGGCGAGAAATCGGGGGGGGTCCCAAAACAGAGCTCCATGGTGTGGGGATGCCGGGGCCAGGAGGGGGGCGTCGGTAGGTTTTGGGCGAGAAATCGTAGGGGGGGGGGGGGTCCGAAGAATAGAGGCTCCATGGGGTGGAGATGCCGGGGCCAGGAGGGGAACGTCGGTAGGTTTTGGGCGAAAAATCGTAGGGTGGGGGGGGGTCCCAAGAACAGAAGCTCCATGGGGTGGGGATGCCGGGGCCAGGAGGGGGGCGTCGGTAGGTTTTGGGCGAGAAATCGTCGGGTGGGCGGCTCCAAGAACAGAGCTTCCATTGGGGTGGGGATGCCGGGGCCAGGAGGGGGCGTCGGTAGGTGTTGGGCAAGAAATCGTAGGGTGGGGGGGTCCCAAGAACAGAGGCTCCATGGTGTGGGGATGCCGGGGCCAGGAGGAAGGGGGTTCCAAGAACAGAGGCTCCATGGGGCGGGGATGCCGGGGCCAGGAGGGGGGCGTCGGTAGGTCTTGGGCGAGAAATCGTAGGGTGGGGGGGTCCCAAGAACAGAGGCTCCATGGGGTGGGGATGCCGGATCGGATCGACTCGGCAGGAGGACGCGTCAAGCATCTCAGCGCCGTCTGGGGCGCGCCCGTGCGGCGCGCCACAAGGAGGAGTAAAACTCGAAAGCAGTTTTTGAGCATGCAGTCTGGAGCTGCGTGCTCTAAAAGGCCACCACGATCCCCAACCTGCCGCCCGCTCGAGGCCTCGCTGAGGCCTCGCGGATCGGTGTCCGGCAAAAAGAGAAAAGGAAACAACTAAACCTGCAGGCTCCTGCTCCTCCTCATCCTCCCAGACCGGCCTTGCGGTATTCGAAATTCTGGAGGGCATGGCGGAGGAGGGCCTGCCGCGGTCGGGCCTGCGGTGTAACCTGCTACCCTCCGTTCCCAACGGGGGGGATGCCGGGGCCAGGAGGGAGGCGTCGGTAGGTTTTGGGCGAGAAACCGTAAGGTGGGGGGTCCCAAGAACAGAGGCTCATGAGGGGGGCGTCGGTAGGTTTTCGGCGAGAAATCGTAGGGTGGGGGGATCCCAAGAACAGAGGCTCCATGGGGGGGGGGATGCCGGGGCCAGGAGGGGGGCGTCGGTAGGTCTTGGGCGAGAAATCGTAGGGTGGGGGGCCCCAAGAACAGAGGCTTCATGGGGTGGCGATGCCGGGGCCAGGAGGAGGGCGTCGGTAGATTTTGGAGCGAGAAATCGTAGGGTGGGGGGCTCCCAAGAACAGAGGCTCCATGGGGCGGGGATGCCGGGGCCAGGAGGGGGGCGTCGGTAGGTCTTGGGCGAGAAATCGTAAGAGGTGGGGGGTCCCAAGAACAGATTCTCCATGGGGTGGGGATGCCGGGGCCAGGAGGGGGGCGTCGGTAGATATGTACCAACCCAGCGGCCGCTGGTACATAACTCCTGAACCCTCTTGGGGCCCTCTTGGAGCCCTCTTGGGCCCCTTGTTGGCCCACATGATGGTTCCAAGAAGGCCCTAAGAGGGCCCCCAAACGGGCCCAAGAGGGGCCCAAGAGAGGCCTCAGAAACCGCTAGTAGGTGTCATCGATCAGCGCGTCTGGATGAGACCTCTCAGTGGTCTCTGGGGCGCGTCTTGGAGCCCTCTTGGGGCCCTCTGGAGCCCCCTGGGTGCTCCCAAAAAGGTTCCAAGGGACATCCGAAGGGGTGGAGGGGGAGTTGGACGGGGAGTGGAGGGGGAGGTGGAGGGGGGGCTGAGGTGGGTGGTGGAGGGGGGGGTGGAGGGGGGGTGGGGGGGTTGGTGGAGGGGGAAGGGAGAGGGAGAGGGAGAGGGGTTTGATTAGGAAACTGGAAGAGGTTTGACGACCACGACGACGACGACGATGACGACGACGACGATGACGGCGACAACCACGATGACGAGTGGGCGCCTTGGAGTTCTCGTGGGCCGTCTTGGAGGCGCCTTGGGGGCCTTTTGGACCGTCTGGAGGCCGTCGTGGGGCCGTCTTGGAGGCCTCTTGGGCGCTCTTGGGGCCATCTTGGGGGTCTCTTCGGCGGCACTGGGCCGTCGGCAGGCCGAAAACGTTAAAATCCATCAAGAGCCCACGGGAAATCAGCTGTCTTGGCCTCTTCGGGCCTTCCTGCAGGTCCCCTTGGAGGCTTCTTGGACTGCATTAAAAGCCTCTTGGGGGCCTTTGGGGCCGTCCTGGGCCATCTTGGGGCCATCTTGGAACGCCTCGGTTGCATCTTGGGCCGTCTTGGAAACATATTGGGGCCGTCTTGGGC